CCCCCCCGAAAAAAAATTGCTCTGCTTCCTTCTTCTTCATCTCCTACCTGTCTTCTCTGTTTGTACAGGCTTTTCTGAATAAATTATCTATAACTCTGAGTTTGTACTTTATCTAGCACTCTGGAGTTCCTTTATAGGTTGGCTCTAGGGAAACTCTGTAGCAAAAACAGTTATTGCTAATTAAGAACATCAATTACTTCTGCATAACTTTTACATAAGTAGAAGGGACCTTAAGTAGCCAAGTCTATATTAGGAGTAGATATCTATGGCTTTCCTTTCAGTAAATTCTCCCCATATCCAAATTTTCATGTGGCAAATTAAAAGTGCTTCATGAATGCTGTCCACCCCCATATCTCATAATGTACGTCCGTATTCCCATTTGGATATGTCAGAGGGCTCTGCAAGATCACACAAAATACTGTGGTCAGATTTGGGGATTGCCGTCTGGCCTTCCAAGTTACCTGTGGTTGACTGGATCGGTTCTTGAGCTGTTGGCTGCTGCTGTTTGAATCTGTGTTATGAATGTTGAAATACTAAATTGCTAGGTTTTGGGAGTTGACTATAAATTTTGATTGACTAGCATCAGTAAAATTTCAATAAATTCATCAGTGTTCAACAGCCTTTAACAAAGTGTGAGAGTAGGTTTGGTTTGAAAACTTGATGTGCGGTTCCCCAGAAGAAAGATTCCTCATAAATCCTCCTCAAGAATTTCTTCACAAAGAACAACTTTGCCAAATTTCCCTTATACATTCCTTTAATTTTTGAAGAAAAGTACACTAGTCCCAGATCCTTCTCCCACATTTCTACTATTGACTGTGTTATCACACTAAATATACATCTGGATGATCTGGTACTCACTAGAATGTGCCAATGTGTGAATCTGTGTGTATTTTGTGTTAGTCTGCTCCTAGTGAGCTAAATAACTGAAGCTTCCTAATTCCTGGGCACCATTCTTATATAGCATTTAAAAACAAATCACTTCTACATCTGTGTCATTATGGCTTTGTGTCATGGACTCCCTCCAAATAACATCTGTTACAGTGTTGACACACAATGCATATTTTACGAGCTGTTTAAAAACATATTTACTCGATGGACTAAAATTGTTTATCAGCACATACTTAGTCCCAGGAGAATGTCTATTTTCTGTTCAAATTGAGAAGTAGAGGGGAAAAAGAGCAAGTTGGGCAGTCCAGTGAAAGTGGTGTCAAAATCAGACTCCAGTCTACAGACCTACCCCAGAAAAGTTCTCAAGAGTGAAAGTTATGTGTCAGATGTGATCCACTATCCCTTCAATGTCACAGCAAGTTTTGTCTTGGTAAAATAACATCTTAGGTTTCAGCAAATGTGTGTCAAATATGTTTTGCCAACAGAGTGAACTGAAGGTAAGACAGGAAGTCTGTACATGGCAACTAATCTTCTCTCATCTTGAAATGTGTCCTCTGCTATTGAATTCAGTAAATCATAGTAGTGGTTCAAATTTAGCTCTGCTGTAAGGCTGTGGAAGCAATCAAAGATGAAGGCAGATTTGGGTCAGGCAAGAAATTTATTTTGGCAAGAAATAAATACAGTCACATTTCTGTATGTGTTTCTGATGCATATCTATGAATGCTGTGAAATTTGTCAGGCAGGACTGAGGAGGATGTGTACTCTTGTTTGACTCTTTCCTCGTAATGGTATCTAATACCTGAGCCCATGCTTTGCTCAGAAGAAAACACCAGAGAAAAGCTTCTTAAATGATAAATGTGAAAAGGATTTGCAATTTCAGGTCCTTTATTCCCTTCCCTCCACTCCAAAAGGGAGACCTGGCTGTTTGCCCATCTCTAGTGCTTGCACTGCAAAAAGTCTTCTTCCATTTCTGTGTACTACATATTTGGTGAAAACCAAGTGTTTCTGTCATTACCAGGGCACTGTTGAAATTGGCACACCTGCAATTCGACCTACTTTTTTTTCTTTGCATCTGTTTAAGTAAATTCTGTGTGATGAAAATTGGTGCCTCTTCCCCCCATCGAAAAGCCAGAACTTTTAATTTCATCCTGGAGCTCAGCTCCATAACTTTCTGGGGAAAATACTGCTTTCTGCAGCAGCAGCAGCAGCACTGGGCATTGGAAAACTGGACCTGAGAGATACTTGTTTGGTTTTTAATATCTGACTATACTTCTGGCCTATTGTAATCTCACTAGAGTGGAGCATCATATGCAAGTATCAGAAGAAAAACATGAGAAACAGATCCCAGTTTCAGCTTTTAAGGGGTTCTTAGTGAGAGCATCTGTGGTCTTACTTAGCTGCAGATGAAAGAGAGAAACTTAAACTAACAAGGAGATTACTTACAGGATGCTCTCATCTGTCTACTGTTAACTCATCCCAGAACTCTCACTTCATGAATGGAAGGAACTGCTTCAGATTTATCCACTTGCAAATAACTTCTGGGCTGCTTATATCAGGAAGAGTTTTCTTCCATTTTAAGTGGGTGATATCTTAAATAAATACAATAAGGCTCTACAGGGAAACATCTTAGAGAATTATGATCAATGACGTCCGTTGTGCTGCTTTTGTCCCCTGTAGGTGTTGAAGAACACTCGCTTGACAACTCTCCTATACTGGATGACAGGTCAGCACTTTACTCTGGAGTTCACAAGAAGCAATTCTACTTTGACGGCTCCTGCGAAAAGCAGCCAGAGGATGAGTCGGACTCACTTACTACTTCTCCCTCATCCAGCAGTCTTGATACATGGGGAGCTAACCGGAAGCTGGTGAAGACCTTCAGCAAAACTGATAGCCGTGGCCTTATCAAGCCTCCCAAGAAACTTGGGACATTTTTCTCTTACCCAGAAGAGGAGAAGACCCAGAAAGTTTGCCGCTCCTTGACAGATGGGGAAATGAAGAAGAGCCTCGGCTCACTGAGCCACGGGGTAAGTACAGAAAGCATTTGCTTTTATGACAGCAACAGGCACAAGCACCATCTTCTGGTGTCCCTGGAGGAGATTCAGAGTGTAAGGAAGCAGATCCGATTGAAGAAAATGGATACTAACTATTCCTGTTCCAGAGCTTTTCTTTGCCAGCGCCCTGCTAGGAAAGGAGCATCCCCCACAACTTGCGACCTACAATTACTGCGGCACAAAACAAAAGGGGGTGGAGGTTGTGGCTTCCCAAACAGAAGGCTACGAGGGCGCACTTCTGTCAGCGAATTCAATATCACCTATGTGGTGGAGAGAAGCCTGTACAGTCACCTCAACCTCTCACAGCTGGTGCGTCCCGTTACTGACAGGACCCTGAGCAAGGCCGACAAGCAGGACCTGAGGAGATGCCTGCTGGAGGAGGATGAGGAGGCCAAGAGGAAGTGGGCTGCTACAGTGGATCGCTGTACTAAAAGGGTTCTCTTGAGAATCCACCAAAAGTCTGTGAGTCAAAGAGTTGTCATGAAGGTGGTCTTCCAGTTTCTGTGAGGTTGCAGTCAACACTTTCTGCTTTATACTTTTAACTAAAATTCAGTGCTTCTGGTTTCTTTGCCATTAGAAACTCTTAAGCACTCTTATTCAGCTGTAAGGGAAGAGTTTGATAAAATCTCGTCAGAGAAGAGTTTTGTTGAGTCTGCAGTTTCTATGCGCACAGAATAACTCAATGAAGAGAGAGCAAATACGACAAAATGCTGCTTTTTAAATTCACCTAGTGCAGAAATTGAGGTGAACAGGTGAACAGAGGAACTTTGATGAAAATTGGTGCCTCTTCTTGTGATGCTATAAATGTGTTCTTTGTGATGCTTTGGGAGTCGGTATTCCCTTAAAGGGATACCAATAAATGAACAAAATTTTCAGAGGATTAGAGCATCCTTAGTCAACTGTGCTCTGTTTCTCTCCTGTTGTCATTGCCCCGTACTGGCCCTCCACTTCTCAGTTTGCATCTTATCAAGTCATCCACCCAGCTCTGTATTCTCTGTTACATGCACAGCTGCAGAAGGACAGGGAGTTTTACATTATGTAGACACTGCCCTCCTGCTTGCTGCTCACCACCACCAGAAGTGCCCCTTCTGCTCTGTCCCTGGCCACCGCTCCTTCTATCTAGCATGGGGTGAAGGTGGTACCTTCCTTCAGAGCATTGTGGAAAGGGAGTAAGGGGTGGCCAAAAAAAGGAAACTATGCTTTACAATGGGAAATTAAGTGATCTGAGCACTCCAGAGATATCCAAAGCTGCTTCCTGATTATATGACCCAGTTTTTACAGTTCCCTTTACCATGATGCTGAGTTTCCTAGGAACTTGCCTTTGAGGCCAGCCAGGTCTCCAAAGCTGACAGTCTGTTGTCTAGTTGACAGTGTAGATATGTTCCCTACTTCAGTGGGTGGAAACAGCAGCACACCCGTAACATTAAGCAAGATGTTCCAGTGAACAATATAGTAGAAACAGCTTTTCCTCTTGAACTACAGATTTTATTTGGAGAGGTCTCTTCTTCATTTCTTGAGATGTGAGGTATTCTTGATTGTCACAGCCTTGGTCTCCTTGAATAACCTGTGGGAGGTGACCAAGCCTTCATGGTTCACTTTTTGCTCTTCAGCCACAAAATAGATAGGTTTTTCCTACCCAGTACTGTGAACATTCTCTCTTGGCAGCTTCACTATTTCGTCTGCATTGACTGCTTGCCCTGCCACTCACAGACATTGTTTTCCCCTAAGGATATTACAATGATAAGAGAAACCATCCTTTTGTGGGTTGAACAATAGGAGTATCTCAGGCAAAAGAGCATACTCGTATGTTCTAGAGGTGCCCCATAATTAAAAATACCATCTAAAACTCTTTGTAAATACAGATGACAGAAACAAGCTTTTCAGTTCTTCTAATAGGTAGTCTCACTATAGTAAACCATCTAGACTGACTTGCTTATTCACAGAGACACAGACAGAGAAGAAATGGGTAGTGTTTTGTTCTTGTTGAGGAACTCCTCAGTCAACTGCTCCTCCAGCCTTGTTTGAATGGGATAAATGGTGGAGACACGCTGCTTTTACTGGCTTTTTCAACACGCTTCTTCCTGAAACAGCAAAAAGCTGGCAAACTTCAATTAATTCCATTCCTTTTTCCTAGAAACACTTAATGTTTGTTTGCTGCAACCTCAGGGAAATTGCAATGCCTATGTATTCAGTGGAATTGGTCACTCTGTCTTGCCTTGCCATTCATTTTGTCATTTATATTTGTTTCAGTGACCTGGACATGCATGAAATTTTCAAATCGCATCAGTTTTTCTTTTCTCCCAAAACGATAATACTTTTGATTGCATGGCCATTCCATTGAATATCCCTCTCCTCATCCACAGACCTTTTGTTTGGTACAGTATTGCCAGGGTCACTACTGGAATCTGAAGGCAGAAGTTAACCGTATGGGGAGATCCATAATGAAACAATAAGCATCCTTACTATGGTACATTTATTCAGAAGCTTTTAACCAACAGACATTTTGCTCTCTGAGAAGAGAGCTTTAGGAGGAGCTCTGGCTGGTTTGACAGACAAGTTTGCTCAGAGCAGTTCCAGATGTCCTCTCTTCATTGCTGGGATTACCATACACTGTAGGATTAGTTAGAATGGACTCTTCACAGAAGGACAACATTACTCATAGCTAAACATGCTGTGCTTTAAAAACTGATCTTATTACTTGTGGTTGGTCTCAAGTGCTTTCCAAAACCAATTTTTAAAAGCTATGCCATAGTCACATTGCCTTCTAGAAAAGAAAACATTAAATTATTTTAATGTGTGTGGGGCCTAGACAAAGCTGGCTTTGAGTTCTAGTAGAGTTGTGGTGGGTACAAAAGCTGTCATCCAAGCACTGTAGGTACACAGCACCCAACATAGAAGCTAGAAAAGAAAACTTTTTAAAAGCTATTAATACATATGCTGATTAGTGGTGAACAGGGCAGGAAGAATAGTTACTTTAATAGAACTAATTGGTATAATTGTTTACTAAGTGGCACAGTTTATAGAGCTTGCTTCTTCCTAACAGACTGTCAAAGCAGAGTGGTAGTTCTCAGGTGGTGGGTTTTCACTGACTCTCAAGTACACACTCACGGTACTGATTGGGCAATCATTTGTAGGTCTGATCTGATGCTTAGCTGAGTCTGAAGGTGTCTTTGAAGTTACTCTGTTGGGTAGTTCAGGCCCTAAAAACTTACAGTTCGCAAGTGGTTGATCTTCTGCCTCCTGTCTGTCTCAACTGTACTGCTGAAGAGAATACTTATAACAGACATCTGCCTGTCTCGCAACCCACGCTCAGCGCCCAGAGTTGAAGTTGTGCAAGTAAATTGTAACTGCCATACCTTCATTTCCCTGGATTGTTATGTGAGACTTCGGGCAGGGCCAGATACTTGAGTACTGTGCAACTGGTTGTTCAGTGGCCAAATAAAAAGTCAAAGGTTTTACCTTTTGGATTGCAAAGCAAAAGCTGGATTCTTTCTGAGCCCCCTTCTAGTGTCTAGTCTTTTTTCAAGTGATACCAAAGCTTTAGCAGAGATTCGTCTGCCACAGTTAAACAGTGATTGGCTGTGGAAATGCAACTGTACTGAGTTTGGTTGCCCTCTGCTTGTGGGAGGGAAGCAGTGTCAGAGTGCTGATATTCTTTTCTTTATTCAGGATGATTATGATAAACTGCATCTGTGCATTCAGCCAAAACTGAGTCACTCCACTAGGTGATTGTGGCACTGTAAATATAGCATACTTTCTCCAAGAAGTAGCAGAGCTGCCACGTTATCAGCACAGGTGTGATGGTACATACCTAATCTGGAATCAGGGCTTGCTGAGTCTCAGGGGGCACAATGCTTATGGAGAGCTGGGCTGGTTCTTCCCTCCTCTTACCAAGAGCTTGCCTTACGAGGCCTCTAGTGTTTCCCTGTATTTCAGTGGAAATGGAGTCTATGCAGCTATTCCCAGAAGGTAGGTTATGAAATGCTTTAAAAGATTGGTGGTTCTCTGTTTCAGTGCTACTGTGGACTTATTTATGAAGGCAGATGGGAGTGCTGAGGTGGAGTTGCCAGCACCGTGGAAAACTTGATGCATAAGATCAACAGTTTCGTCAGACCAAGAAATCTTTTTTTTTCTTTTTAAAAAGAAGAGTAGGCAATAGATGACTCAACAGCAGCAGACCTTAGGCCAAAGAGTTGTCTCTGGAAAAGACGAATTATTCAAATTGCTTTGTAACAGATTTCTTGATTTATAATCTCCCATCCTTTTGTTTGTTTGTTTCCATTTTTGCAGACATTTGTGTTTTCACTGGTATTCTCCAAGTCATAGATGTTTTGAGTGAGCTAATCATTGTGATAGAACTGTATCCATCCTTATTTTTTGCAGAGAACCTGTAGCTTTGGAGGATTTGACTTGACAAATCGTTCCCTTCATATTGGAAACAGTTCTGACCAACTGGTGAGTTTAAGACAAGAAGGCGCAGACTTGAAATAGCATAAAATGAAATATGCAATAGAGTTATAATAGACTGAAGTGTAATTTAGGTCTGTAATAACAGTTTGGGGATCCAAGAAAGCAGAGTATCTTTGTTAACCTCAAACTTCCTTAGCTTTGAGAATAACATACCCACCCATATCCATGTGTGTATAAGTATTTATATATCGTATGTGTAGAGGCAGGAACAAGTGATCAAAGTGCGGATCTGGAGGCACATCTGTGGGCTACTCTTATGTCTGACTTCCTCAAAGCATCACCCCAGGCAAAACATACGATTGGTATACTTTCTTGGTAAAAATATTTACTGTTTGGAATGATGAGGCAAACTTTCATTCGCTGAAGATCTGCAAGTTATTTGGGTGGAAGTCATTATGTAAGAGATTTATTATTTGTTTTCTCATTGTATCTAAGAGTTCTGGAGTACAGCAGGATCCCATTGTGCTGGGTGCTGCGCAATTCATCTCGGAGTTCTTTGTGTTTAAGAAAAAAAACACCTCCCCTGAGAATTAATTCCATTTTATGTTACTCATGTTGATCCCAGAGTTACTGTTGGTCAGCCCGCGGCCAAAAATAACGGAACAGAAATGAGCCAGAACATTATATCAAATGAAATTGCCAACATTTTTTTTTTCCTTTTGCCCATATATGTTTTTCTTTTCTATTTGAACATTGGTTCTGATAACTTCTCTGTTCACTTAAATCAAGCCAAAATTGTGAAACATTTTATATGCCAGCATTATATCATTTTTTTATGTCAGCTGGGTTTTTTGGGGTTGTTTTTGCTTTTCTTATTTTTTTTAAACATCATCAATTACCCCTAAATTGGCCAAAACTGTGGGTGATTATTCTTCAATTTTCAACTCAGTAAAAAAGTTAACTTCCAAAGTTAGTGTTTATCTTTAAACATAGATACTTTGGCATATTTTCTTCAGATTGGTTTTGATATAGGAAAGTGTGAAATCTAGATGTTACATTTTTCCCTACTAACATCAGCAGTGGGAGAGATGTGGTGCACCAGAATAACATATGCAGATCAAGGGTTTTTTTCCTGAAAACATTTAAGTCCATTAAGTGGAAGGTTTTTTTCCAAAAAGATAAGGCAAAGAGCTGTCCTTAATTTCTGCTGAAAGACCAAAAGTTACCAAAGAAGTTGTAATCACAAACAGCTTGTAAAGGAAAAAATTGTTGGAAATGAAATATCAGCTGAATTTCAGAGAAACTTTTGGGGAGAACATTAGTAAAGTAGCAAACATACATAAAATTATAAAAAAAGATAGATCTTTTATGTAGAATATAGTGAACACTTACTTTAGGGTTTGTTATCTCATATACCTAGATTGTCCTTAGAAGGATTATTGAACCACGTCAGAGACCAACTCCAATAGTCACTCTATTTGGTCAAACAGATTTTGGTCCTTTTTGCGTTACGATTTTTGGTGCACCCTTGACAATGGAGGGTGCTGGTGGTAGCTCTAATGAAGCTGCCTCGCTGTGGTTCCTGACACGCTGTAGAAGGAAAAGCCGTGTCTAACATGCTGCCTGGACAATCTGAATAAGGGCTGAGTCATACAAGTAAGTTTGGCAAAATGTCAGCCGATCCATGTTCATTCTTTGCATGTGCTTGTGGTATAAGTAAATGCTAGGTATCTTAAGCTGGGTTAGAAAAGGTTAAATGTGTTCAAAGCAGCTGGCCTTTGTCATCCACTATATATGAACCAGCTAATTTAGTTCAGCAGTACCCTGTTGTGTGTCTTAAGAATAGCCGTGCAAGTGTAACTTTCTACCACGGTTGATGGATTTAGTAGCTTTTTTTGGGTTGTTTTTTTTTTAATAAACAATCCACAGTAAAACCACAGAGATGGTCATCAAGAGAGGTTAATGCCTGTCTGAAAATAAAAAGTAAATTTGGGTAGCCAAATGTAGGTATCCATATATATACACACACACACACAGATATATATTTGGCTAGGATCTCAGAGGTACCTTTACTCCTGTTAAACTGTATGTAATATTGACCGACATGAGCCACAAATAGTGTATGTCCTGTCAGGAGGGCTTAGCCTGAAATGGTGGTGCTTTCTGTCAGGTCACTTTCCTGAAACTCAAAGGGATAAAGGCATCCTAACAGACCCCAGCACATCTACACTCAGTACCTGCAGAAAAGGTTACGAATCAGGCCTGAGGAGTAAGGTAGAGTGGACTGCTACAGTGGTTTGCACAAGGTCTCAGCGGTGAATTTAGAGCAGTAAATTGGACACCATGCTGGCCTGTGTCTGCCTGGATACCTCTGCAATGACTGCTGACTGAGGAAAAAAATGGCTGTTGTATTTTATGGGCTTAAACCCTGTTTTATTTTGCAGGGCAAAGAAGGAGACTTTGTTTATAAAGAAGTGATCAAATCACCCTCTGCTTCCCGTATATCTCTGGGCAAAAAGGTGAAGTCTGTCAAAGAAACCATGAAGAAAAGGATGTCCAAAAAATACAGCAGCTCTCTGTCTGAGCAGGTATGTAAGATCTGCAATGGAATCCACTTAATAGTGTAGAAGTGATAATCAATATTGATTCTCATGCTTCAAGGCATCTCTGAAGAAATTTCTAACAAGCCTGTGGTGTGGCTTATTCCTCTGTTCTTATAAAATCCCTCACTGTGAAATGGCTTCCTATAGATACCAAACCATGAAAATGCATTTTCAGATTTTCATTCAAGTAGCTCATCAGCAGAAGCCTGTGGTTGATGGCATTACACATCTTGCTGTATATTTCCATTCCTTTGTCTATCATCATTATTTATTAAGGGAACCAGTCTGTGACACGGGGTCACAGTAATATATTTAATCTGCAATTTACCCCTTAGTTTAAATTCCCAGCATAGCCTCACATACACGGTTGCTCTCTGCTATTACAGATCTGTTCTCCATCATAGCTTGCCCTCCGCAGCAGCCCATTAAAACAGATGCACAATGTAGTCAGAAAGGGGCATCCCACAAAAGAGTTTCCTATTCTTTCATTACAGGTTTTTATAGCTTATTCTTAAAGGCAAACCTGAAGTAGATTAGTTGTAAATTAGGCTTTGAATTGCAGTGGCCTAGGAACAATCGCTGTCTTGTTCTCTTTTGGTATACTTTGGGTTCCGTGCTTTGGTGGAGTGTCAAAAATTCTTCGGCATTTGTTTAATCTTGGCGCTTGCGATGTGTAACAGCTCCGG